GACAGGGAGGAGCAGGCGAGGGTGGGAGGGGAGGGAGAACCCTGGGAAGACCAGAGACAAGGTACCGTTTGTGCATGGCACGAAGGCGCTGCACGGACGGGTGACCAAGTCGGTGGTGCCAGAGGACGGTCTCGTGCGCCAGAGAGCGACACGAGCAGGGGGCCGACAGCTGACCTGACGCAGACGCAGACGCAGCTACCTGAGGGGACTCAGTGGTCAGTGTGTACAGGTCCGACCCCGGCTGCCGAGTGAAGGTAGCCAGGTGACGGCCCGTCCGAGCACACGTGCAGTGTGTCACGCGCTCGTAGGCAGGGGTGAACTGGTGAACACCCCCGTCCTGGAGCGCACAACCCGCCACCAAGTTCGTAGAGAACGAGGGGAGGTGGAGACCTGACAGTGTGCCCGACGGGACCGCAGGACAAGGAAGGACAGTGGAGGAGGTCGCAATGACCGGACCCCCAGAGGGGTCAGCGAGGGAGACAGCAACTGGCCGAGCAAGCGGCTCAAGGGCAGTGCGGTCACGAAAGAAACAGCGAGAAGCACCTGAGTCCAGAGTGAAGGTGTGCAGTGCCTCAGTCGACTCAGTACCAGGGGGCGCAGACTCACTAGCACCTAGAGCAGCAGCCTCACCAGCACCTGGGGTAGCAGACACGCGAGTACCGGGAGTGGTAGCCTCACCAGCACCTAGGGCAACAGACGCACTAGCACCTAGAGCGGCAGCCTCACTCACAGGACATGGCAGCTGCACCTGTCCACTACCAGAAGCTCCCGAACGACGCACTCCAGAGCGACTACCACTACGGCCACCCCGACAGCCCCAACTGGCGTACCACTCACGAAGCTGCTAGGGCGAAAGAGGACACGGCAGCTGCACCTGTCCACTACCAGAAGCTCCCGACCGACCCACTCCAGAGCGACTACCACTACGGCCACCCCGACAGCCCCAACTAGCGTACCACGCACGAAGCTGCTGGGGCGAAAGAGGACACGGCAGCTGCACCTGTCCACTACCAGAAGCTCCCGACCGACCCACTCGAGAGCGACTACCACTACGGCCACCCCGACAGCCCCAACTAGCGTACCACTCACGAAGCTGCTGGGGCGTGAGGGACTCACGCGCACGGCCCTGGAGCTGCATCTGGCCACGCCAGAAGCAGCAATAGTAGCAGTAGCGGGAGTAACAGCAGTAACAGCAGGAGCAGTAGCAGTGGGAGTAGAAAAGGCAGTAGCAGCAGTAGCAGCGGTAGCAGTGCTGGCAGGGCAATGCTCACCAGTGGTCGGCGCGGCAGGCGCAAGACGGTGGCGACAGCGGGGCCGCTACAACTGCAGGGCGGGGCCGGGCCGCAGCAGGGAGCTCCGCGGCAGCTGCTGCACGGCGAGGCCGGGCCGCGACGGCAGCTGCTCCAGGTGCCAGGGGCGGCTGCTGCAGTGGCGGCTGCTCCAGGGGCCAGGGGCGGCTGCTGCAGCGGTGGTTGCTCCAGGGGCCAGGGGCGGCTGCTCCAGGGGCGAGGGGCGGCTCCTGCAGTGGCGGCTGCTCCAGTGGCCAGGGGCGGCTGCTGCAGGGGCGGCTGCTCCAGAGGCCAGGCGCGGATTAGGTCAGGGCGACGCGGCGAGCAGGGCGACGCGGCGGGCAGGTGGCGACGCCGCGGGCAGGGCGACGTGGCGGGAAGGTGACGACGCCGCGGGCAGGGCGACGCGGCGAGCAGGTGACGACGCCGCGAGCAGGGCGACGCGGCGGGCAGGGCGACGCGGCGAGCAGGTGACGACGCCGCGAGCAGGGCGACGCCGCGAGCAGGTGGCGACGCCGCGGGCAGGGCGACGCGGCGAGCAGGTGACGACGCCGCGGGCAGGCGACGACGCCGCGGGCAGGCGACGACGCCGCGAGCAGGCGACGACGTCGCGGGCAGGGGCTATGTCGCGGGCAGGCGACGACGCCGCAGGCAGGCGACGACGCCGCGGGCAGGCGACGACGCCGCGGGCAGGGGCTACGTCGCGGGCAGGTGACGACGCCGCGGGCAGGCGGCGACGCCGCGGGCAGGGCGACGCGGCGGGCGGCGAGAGCCTGCAGGGGCGGCGCGCGGTCGGGCAGAGGCTGCGCGCGGGCCTGACGAGTCTGCAGGGGCGGCTCTCGGGCCTGACGGGCCTGCAGAGGCGGCTCGGGGGGGGCCTGACGGGTCTGCAGAGGCGGCTCGGGGGCCTGACGGACCTGCAGGGGCGGCTCGAGGGCGCACGAGGGCGCTCGAGGGCGCACGAGGGCGCACGAGGGCGCACGAGGGCGCACGAGGGCGCACGAGGGCGCACGAGGGCGCACGAGGGCGCACGAGGGCGCACGAGGGCGCACGAAGGCGCACGAGGGCGCACGAGGGCGCACGAAGGCGCACGAAGGCGCACTAGCAGAGAAAGGCGCATGAGGGCGCACGAGGGCGCACGAGGGCGCACGAAGGCGCACTAGCAGAGAAAGGCGCACGAGGGCGCACGTAAGGTAGGGCGCACGAGGGCGCTTCTAGCGGAATAGTGGGCCCATAGTAGAAAGCGGTCCTAGGTAGCAACCTAGGCTCGTGATACCATGTTAGAATCCAGAATAGAACGAGAAAATGGATGAAACTAGGTAGGAGGGGGATACAAGTAGGAAACCCTAACAAAGCTGTACCCCTTAAGGCTAAACCCACTATAGCCTACACAATATGAACATATAATGTTTGACACTTTCCCCAGCTTCTCAGGTACCTGAATAATTTCTAAAGGCGTTTTCTTGGCCTCTAATTCTCCCCTGAATTTTTTTAAGGCTTGAAAACCACGAGAATGAATTCTTAGTTAGATTATCTTTATAGGATAACTTTAACGAATTCTTACTTTCGTGGGTGTTCGGTTGGAGTTTCCCGGTCGGTGAAGAGTCTTCTTTCGCGGAGCCTCCTTTTTTCTCGCCAGTTTCCCCTGGTGCCGGCCGGTCGTGACGTTTTAAATTCGCGCCAACATTTTCTCCTTTTTTTTGCCCGCTCCAAAGTTGCCACGTCGTCGCCTTTCTGCCTTTTCCGGATCTTTTTGCGATCGCCAGCTCGATCCGCGGCTACTGGCGATTCCCGTTTTTTTACTTCGGGGGTGCCGCACTGTTGTTGCCCTGCAGCTCCGCTCGTGCCTTCTTCATTTTCCTACACGCCAAGAATCGATGTCCGGCTGCGCCGCAAAATTCCCATTTGTCATATTTTGTTGGCCGCTGCTTCGCGTCGATCTTGTCGACGTCCATTGGGTCGGCGGTCGTGGGGGGTGCTTATCGCTCCGTGCCGAAAATCCTGTTTGGCATGTTGCGTCGTGTGTCGGGTTGACCTCGAGTCAACGCATCGAATCTCTCTGCTGCACATACCATGTCGCGGTAGTTGCTGTAGTTCGCTGCAATCACCTGTCGGCGGACTTCCACTTTTAGCCCCTCAGTATACGCTTGGATTTTTTCCCCTTCGGTCTGGTCGGTGATTCGGTTGAAGAGGCTCTCCATCTGCTGCGTGTACTGTGTTACACTACCGTACTGTTTGTGCCGATGAATCTGCTGCCGCGCCATGTAGCTCGAATTAATCGGTTCGAAACTTTGAATTAAAGCTGCCCGAAACTCGGGCATGACCCCTCGCCTCGGATCTTGTTACTGTTGTAAATCCACTCGAGCACCGAGCCTCGCAACAGTGTCGCTAAGAGTCAAATCCGCATTGCATCGTTTTTCGGGGTCGTACAGCCAACGACCTCGAAGTAAATTTCGAGGGTCGCAATGAATCGACGGACGTTTGTGTCTCTCGCATTCGGATTGAACGTCTCCGATAGCCTCGGACGTGCCGCTTCAATATTCACTGTAGCTGCTGCCGCTGCTGCTGGGTGAAATGTCGGTGTCGCCGCTGCTGCTGCTGCCGTCGCCGCTGCATTCGCTGCTGCGTTCGTTGCTGCCGTGGCAGCTGCCGTGGCAGCTGCCGACTGGTTCGCGAGTAGTGTTTCGATTCGTTGAAGTGCCGCTCGCGTCTGGTCCAGGTCGGTGCGTAACTCTGTAATTTCTTGTACGAAATTATCACCAATTTCCTCCACTTGGCGATTTACAGGAAGATTTGTGACGAAAATAGTTCAATCTGGTGCGCTGGTCGACTTACTGCGAAGCGAATCCTTTGTAGAATCGTCGAGCGCAGACTCTGTAGGTCGCGTAATTCTCCCATAGTCAATTTCCCATCGAATCTCGGCCGTTGCGGATAAACTCGATCTGACACTCCAAATTCCACCATTTTTTTGCGAAATTCTTTGGGCCGTTGAGATGCGAATCGATCGGACGGTCGAAATTCCAACCTTTTCGCCATTAAAATTGAGGCACATTCGAAAACCGGCTCGAGGGGGACGTTAAAAATTGTGTGAAACTGGCTTACATAACCAAACTCGGCGCTTCGCGTCGCCGTCCCCGCGGTTTTAAAAGCTACGGTAGGTTTTAGCGGTTGAAGACTTCGCGTGTAAACGAGCTCTGATTACCAAGTGTGAACAAGATAGGATCGAGTTCAGAAAATGAGAAATGTATTGAATGATCCACCTGGGTACAACACGAGGCCACATATTGTCTCGATACAAGGCCAGTAACCCAGGTGTTACGCGAAGGTTCCAAGGGTCGCGAAGCGTCTTGAATGGATCCTTCCTGGATTCAGTAGAAGGCAATTCGGTGGCAACCGAAAAGCCTGGAACTCGGTGCACGCATCCTGGTTCGGTGCTATAACTATAATAAAACATAGGAAAGCACCGAACATAGGAAATCAAGCATAAGCATGCATGATAAAATAAACCTAAGCTAGAAATAGCATAATAAAGGCAAGGAAAGCTAGCAAAGCGAGCATACGCCATCGTACTCTCACAGCTGGGTCGGGATGTCCAGCGCATCTGGGTCTCCCGGAGTAGTGTCTAACCACATCGTCGTAATAAGTCTGGGCCAACGTCACCTGACGAAAGTGGGCCCTCTGGTCGACCGACAGGTGAGCTCGGATGCCAAGCTAGGCGACGGCGTTGCGCTCCGTCCATTGTATGCAGGCAACGCGGTCCGCCCGGTACCGCCACTGCACGTCCTCACCTGTGTCAGCAACAGGCTCAGTGGGAGTTGTGGGGGCCTGAAGGGACCCCGACATGTGTTCGAACAGGGAGACGCCATCTCTAATGAAACGTCAGAGATACACGCGTAGGAACATAAGCCACAACCCTAACTTGAAAGGGCGTCCGTCTGCGTCAACCGCTAAGACAGTGATAGTGACCATGACAGGCAATGGCGGTCAGCAGCAGTGGCGCAAGGGCAGCAGTAGCGATTGCGGCGGCGGCAGCTGTAACGGCAGTTGCAGGGGCAGCAGTGGTAGGGGCAGCGGCTGCAGCGATAGGGGCAGCTGCAGAACTGGCGGTCAATGCAGCGGTAATGGCAGTGGCAGCAGGGTGCTCGGGGCGCGTAGGGCAGCAGGGCACGCGGGGCGTGGGGCAGCAGGGCGTGCGGGGCGCGCAGGGCAGCAGGGCGCGTGGCGCACGGGGCAGGAGGGTGCGCGGGGCACGGGGGAGAAAGGCGCGCGGGGCGCGCGGGGCAGCAGGGCGCGCGGGGCGCAGGGCAGCAGGGCGCGCGGGGCGCGCAGGGCAGTAGGACGTGCGGGGCACGAGGCAGCAGGGCGTGCGGGGTGCATTGGGCAGCACGGCGCGCGGGGCGCAGGGCAGCAGGGCGCGCGGGGCGCACGGGGCGGCAGGGCGCACGGGGCGCGAGGCAGCAGGGTGCGCAGGGCGCGCAGGGCGGCAGGACGCGCGGGGCGCGCATGGCAGCAGGGCGCGCGGGGCAGCAGGGTGCGCGGGGCGTGGGGCAGCAGGGCGCGTGGGGCGCGCAGGACAGCAGGGCGCCCGCGGCACGCAGGGCAGCAGGGTGCGCGCGACGCACGAGGCAGCAGGGACGCGTCGCTGCGCGGGGCAGCAGGTCGCACGGGGCGCGCAAGGCAGTAGGGCGCGCGGGGCGCGGGGCAGCAGGGCGCACGGGGCACACAGGGCAGCAGGGCCCGCAGGGCACGCGGGGCACGCGGGCACGAAGGCGCGCGGGGCGTGCAAGGCTGCAGGGCGCACGGGGCGCGTGGGCCGCAGGGCGCGCGGGACGCGGGGCAGCACGGCGCGCGGGGCGCGCAGGGTAGCAGGGCGTGCGCGACGCACGGGGCAGCAGGGCAGTGGCACTCGAGGCGCGGGGCAGCGATAACACACCTAACCTAATCATAGGTTCGGCTGTCGGAGCTTACCTAGCGCACATGCCCTCAGATTGGTTTGAGGGTATGCTGATGGATCAGTTCCGTCAGCAAAAACGTGCGCAGTTCCGCACGCTTCTGGACACCTGCACATTACCGTCACACAAACACAAACGGGAAGATACTCAAGCAAGCACACAAGGAGCGGGAGAGCGTCGTGCACACAAGCATATCCAGGGATGAGGACTGCTCACCAGGTAAGATGGTGTCTCGGTTCTTGGCCTGAAAGAGATGGACAAGGCCGTGCAGGTGCTCCTTGCACTCGGCATCTCTCGCCTCAACGCCCCTCGGCCACGAGCGGGGCATGAAGAGCTTCGTCCTGTTCAAGTGCGTCAGATCCCCCAAGCGCAACTCCAAATTGTACACAAGCTTGCAGGCGAATGAGCGGCAGCACGTGTAACATCCTTGCATGTCCCCGCTGCTGGTGGTGTATCCTGGCACGGAGTCCTCGTACAGGTGAAAGCGATGAACCCGGGGCTGACTGTCCCTGTCCACCCCCTCCACAGTCAATTCACGTCATTCAGGCAAGGCGTGCCGCGCGAGGAATGCCGACAGCATCTCGCTGGTCCCACCGCCGAACTGTTGGCCACAAGAGATGTACTTCTGCTCGATGTAGATGATGGTCCACCTCACTTGGGAATTAACTCCAGTGAGGTCAACCTGTTGGGCGGGAGGGAAAGGGTACATTTAAAGAACAAATTAGTACAAGGTACGGGTCTTGAACCATCACAACTTAGCACAACACCTCACCTCGCATCTCTGGATTAGCAGGTTCAGCGCGTTGAGTGGCGTGTGCACATCTGCCAGGAAGTACAGGAAGAAGTGAAACTTGGACGATGTCACCAGGCGGTACATCGTGTCGTCTGTCAGCACAAGGAGAACGATAACAGTAGGCAGAACCCGGACAAGTCGTGCCATAGCCTCCCCTTGGCTCAACCAGCGGATGGCGTGTCTCCTGCAGTCCTTGAATTTGAGGTGGGAGTTGTTCGACCTGCCAAGATCTTCCGCCACAGAGCGGATGACAGCGTCGATCAGGCCATGCACTGGTAGTGCCCTAGCAGCACCCTTGCTACTAGCGCCTCTCTGCTAAGGGGAAAACAGCACAGTCGGTGCGTTAGTGTCAACGCTTACACAGATCAAACAACAACGATAAACATATGAGCATACCTGTGCGCGATACTGCGACTGACAACCACATGAGGAATCTGTAGTCAAAGACGCCCAACGAGGCCAGTGTCATTGCCAATCATCACCGGAGCCCCATCGGTGCTGATTCCCGCCACCTTCTCCAATAGAAGGCTGATACTTTCCATAAATCCTTTGAGCACTGCATGAAGTGATGCTGCATCACACTTCTCAATGTTACAAAAACTATCATGTGCTTCCCTCTGACGCAGTCTGTGCTCTCTTCGCAGCTCAGACCAATGAACGAACTTGAGCCAATGTACTCTCTCTGGCGAGCACGAAGGTAAGTCATTGTAGCGGCGGTAAGCTCTTCGAAACCGTACCTGCACGGGTGACAAAGATGTGGTTAGTCAATACATCAAATAGTTTAAGCACTGGACCGAGATCAATTAAAGCTATATTACTCACGTCGTGTAGTATGCACCGTATCCGTTCTTTGGGAAGCCCGGGGTGCTTCGCTGCGCAAGATGTCGGGCGAGATCCACCCACATCTCGATGGGGCCGTCCGATTTGGCGATGAAGAGTATGGTCTCAAGGAGCGCGATCACGCGCTCCTTCTCAATGTCCTTCGCCTTCGGGTTGTCGTCGATCCGGCGGTTTGCCTTGAGCGCTGCCGCGGCCGTCTTCTGTCTGTGCAGATCGCGACGGTGCATCCTTGTGCGCTGGTGCTTCCGCATAGCTTGGGTCTGCACATCGGTTGCCCCTTCACCTTTGCGGCCGAAGTTCGTGCCAACACCGCCGTGTTCAATGCAGACCGAGCACTTCATGGACGGAAACCCTGCTTTCGTCTGACAAAGAACAAGCCAAGGAAACTCGTTAGACCACTATTTCTTGTACATAAATAAAGCATCCTGGTACTTCTCCTCTGCAATGTCGGGCAGCTCCGTGTCAGAAGTGACATCAACCGCTTTCGACTTGAGTTTACGCTGTGGAGACTTTAGGGAGGAGTTCCCCACACCAGACGTGGGCGAAGCTTGACTGGCACTTCACTTTGTCAGGTGGTACTTCACTTTAATACCCTTTTTTAGAGGCGGGCCGACACGAGTATATCCAGCTGTGATAGGCGAACGGTTCCGTGTAGAGCCGGAAGCGATTGGCGGATCAACGGGAGTTGAAGCGATAGCGACAGACCTCGAACACTCGCCCTGCATCCATATCATAGGTGCCTCGGCGCCCGAGGAAGGGAGTACTACTGTGGGCATTGTGGGCGAGACTAACGAGAGAGCGGCTGCTTGTCCCCGTAAGAAATCGAGGCCAATGAGGGCTTGAGGCCTGTTGGATGCGTTGGAGTTAGGGCCATCGCCTGCAGGCAACGGGTCCACCATGGTTGCTCAGCCCGGCCGAGAGTGCCGAGCTTGAGAGGGATGGTACTGCTGTGTGCGAAGAGAGCTAGTGGGGGAACATCCCTTCCTGCAAGGAAAAACGTTGAGTGCAGGAAGGAACAGAATGAGGGACCAGATGGGGATACCCCCTCTCCCGAGCCGCCATGGAGAAGCATCTTGGTCCACCCCACTCTCACCCTGGCCGTCTCTCCTGGCAAGAAGATAAGACCCCCACTCCACTGCCATCCTTTGCCGCGTGGTGACGTGAACCCTCCCTCCACTGGTGTGCTGTCTGTCTTTCTTATTGGGCAGTCGTGAACAAGGTGTGAGGCTGTGTCGCTGTGATAGGTTCCAGCGAGGCAAAACACTTCGGCGCGCACCAGCTATCTGTACAGCGCAAGGGAAAAAAATCCAAGTGTGTGGGTGGGGTTTCGTGAATCACGGGAAGGTACGGACTCTACACGCGTACTCTATCCTCTCCCCCCCCCCTCCCCCTCCGTCAAGTCCGTTTCAGTGTGACTCACGAAACTATACTGATTCGTCAGTGTTACTTGTACAGCAACACACAAAATGGTCAGTGTGGCCAGGTAGTTTATACTGAAATTTCTGTGCACAATTGAAGAAGATGCCGAATTTTCAGGGAAAACGAAAATCACAGCTACAAAATCAGCCTAATCAGGATCTTTTATGCTGATAACTAAGGGCCTGCTAGCGCATGATATCACGTTAAGATAGAAAGTACAGCGAAATGATTGGCCAACGGAAATGGAGAGGTACTAACCCTCATGGGTTGTACCTTTTATGAGCTACCCCACTACAGCAAGCATGTATATAGTTTGACAATTATCAATTCTTGTTCTCATTATCAATAGTACAAGACTTTCCTACTTCCGCTGCAGTATTTTAGTACGGTAAGTCTAGTCTCGACAGGGATCCTAGGGCTTCACACACCCTAGCAAAGGTCTTATTCTTAATGAAGAATTTATCCAGCAGCAGACTTCCAGAATTTATTCTTAATTCGCGATTTTGAAGCGACGTTGTGTGCAGCTGTACCACCCGAGTTGGCGCAACTGATTCAGCAATATCCCAAGATTTTTCCGAATGACCTGCAACCTGGACTACCACCCGAACGAGTAGAGGACCACAAAATCACCCTCGAGCCCGGCGCGCAACTGACTGTTCGTAGACAGTGGCGGCTGACTTAGCCTGAACTCGCGGAGCTTTGAAGTCAAATTGAAGCACTGTTGGAGAAGGGCTTCATCAGACCCAGTACCTCGCCCTTCGCCACGCCGATTCCGTTCACACCGAAAAAGGACGGCGGTATTTGCGTGTGCATCGACTATCGCGTGCTCAACCAGGTTATAATCAAACCAAGAAGGGCGCGAATAACATCGCCGACGCCCTGACCCGCCCGACGGTCTGATCCGCTCTGATCACCCACTCGAACCCACTACTTTCGGGGCTATTCACCCATGGCTACAGGACGGACCCGTTCTTTACGACAGGCAGTCACCTGCAGGTGACAACGCAGAAGGGGGATTACTACCTAAAATCCGGAACTGACCGAGTTTGGGTACTCGCTTATTGTCTGCTGCGTGAACTACTTATCCATAAAATTATGCACAGTCTGTACTATTGGCCCGATTCTAACTCTGACGTGCAGCGTTATGTGTCATCATGCAGAGTGTGCCAGGCAATAAAATCGACACTTTAGCGCCCGGCCTGCCTGCTGCAACACCTCGTGCCACCCGAGCGACCGTGGCAACATGTAACAATGGACTTCGTCACGGGGCTACCAGCTGGCGCGTCCGGCATCAACGCGGATTTCGGCGCGGCCGATCGCCTCACAAAAAGGGCGCACTTTGCACCATATCGCACAACAATCATAGCTGAAGTAACTGCGCTCCTCTTCATCTCGGCCTTTGTTCGCTTGCACGGTATCCCGTCCGCGATCATCAGTGATTGAGACCCGAAGTTTACATCGAAGTTCTGGAGAGATACGTGGGCGAATTACGGCACACGTTTACAGTTCTCGTCGGCCTACCACCCGCAAACCGACGGCCAGACCAAGCGGACCAATCAGACAACGGAGCAGCTCATCCGCACGAACTGCCCCGACCCTGCTCGATGGGAAAAATCGCTCCGATCCTGGGATATGCGTACAACAATGCCCCGTCCAACACGACCAACCATTCCCATTTCTTCCTCAATTACGGGATGGATCCAGTGGTACCCACAACAACGACTCCTGAGAACTCGGTACTACGCTCGCAACACATTGTGACGGAACTATAGGCAATCAGCTGTCGAAGCCACTCAGGGAGCTAATGCAACTGCCCCCAAATACTCGGATTTGCTACGCCGGGAAATCACCATGGCACCAAGGCAACTAGTCCTCCTCAACACCGAGAATCTTCGACTGTCCGTCCCGCCGAAGCTTCGCCATTTCGCGCATTGTGAAAATG